GCAAATTGAATCAATTTTAGAAGTCATTTTATTAAATTTTAACTTTAATTCGAACTTGGCATCAAGTCGATTACTGTTTATTGTTTTTAACATGACCAAGTGAGAAAACTATGTATAATATAGCAAAGGGAAAAAAACTTCACCACTTGCCTAGCAGCCCAAAAATCTCTCAAGTTTTATCTTCGGACATTTCTAATAATGACCTCTGCTGCTTGATACTCAAGCTTGATTTCATGCTTTTCTTCATGACCACAAATGAGTTACGAATCCAGCCATATTTAACATGATCAATACCTAGAAAATATCTTTACAGTTCATCGGAGAGCTGAGAATGATGAAAAATAAATTCAGCCCCTATTTTGGAATCATGTGTGTTGCACATGACTACTAGTCATCAAGCCACCATTGCGTAAAACTTGTTGCACACCCCCTACTGTCGAATGCCGAACTCCTAGGAGAAACCCCGCTTTTGTACAATAAACGGATAGATTCAGAACAGGAGTAAGATGCCGTTAATTTTAGTTTATGTTGATGCATGGCATTTTTCCTTCCTCAATAGCAATAGGTTCTTCTCTGAATTGTCTTTTCCTTTGGAAACTATTTTCAAACACAGAAATGCCCGGATTAGGCTTCAAATTGTTTTGCCCTGTGAAAAATACTAAGCAAAATCATCAAATCTATTTGTTTATAGTTTTAAGGTAAGCCAACTAAGGAGTCAAATTGCGCCGTTATAGTGGGTTTGTTAACTTGAGTTACTGATTGAGTTGTCAGCCCATATCTTAAGCACAGATTAAAAAACCGCAAACATGTTACCTTTAGATTGTCTTTGCATGAAGTGGTATTAGAGTTGCCGCAATTTGAAATTTGGGTGTACGAGCAGGAATCTATCAGATAAATACAGATTATACTATTGCCGACAAGGTACCAAATCAAACATTTTAGTTCTAATTGATTATGATATGCTTAACATATATTAATTTACCATAGTTTCTTAAGAAAAATGTTTAGGTGATTGGAGATTACATGTAGTTCCCCGAGGAAAATTCACTGAAACCACATTTATAGTTTTCAGAATTAACTGATTAGTTTGTTATTTAACCATTATTTTTCCATACCCGTGATTAAAATTGTTCTACAATGATATAGTGAATCCTGTGAAGTTAAACAATAATAAATTTTAAACAACTAATATATTTCAATTAAAGTCCGTCTCTGCTTTGGAACTTTGAGTATAAATATGCTCAATTTTTGAAGCGATAACTACTCTACAAACCATAGATTACCAACATTAAATATTGACTTTATTTTTTTGCGGCAAAGATATCAAAAGATGAAGTTTCTTATTGTTTTTGTAAGTTTTGCGCTTGTGGCTTGCGCGTATAGTTTGTCCTCACCGTCGACACTTGAGGAAGACAATCAAACTCTGGATATTGACAATGAAGGTAAATACAAATATAGGTATTATAATGTTTCAAATACGATTGTTTATTTTCCATGCAGCATTTGATTCAGTTGATAATACTCTATCAAGTCGCGCTGTTTGTACCGCACGTTTATGTTCTAACATTTGCGCACGATTGGGTTTCCGGAGATACAGATGCATGAGTACCCGTGTCTGTCGTTGTTATCGTTAGATACCTAGATAACTTGATTGTCCCACTGATTGATCGACTTAATTCTGTTCTTGCTATTTGAAATCTGATGGATTGTATATGAAATCCAAATATGTTAAAAATATAATTATTCGAAGCATTGCATATTATACTATGTATGTTTATATTTATGCCACAACTTGCGATCCTTAATCCCCAGTCACCCTTCACACAATTTCAGATTTCTTACTAGTACCATAGTAATTATTTTTTAAATTCAAAAATACGTAAATACAGTTGTCGTAAAATAAAAAGATAAACGTTTAAGGGTTTCACAAAACTTAGTTTGGTAAATGTAGATTAAAGGCGTGCCATGTACACATTTACAGCGAGTTTAAATTCCCTAACAAAAACTTTAAAAGAGTGTAAAATTTGTAGGATGTAATGTTTTAGTAATTCTAGTTCTGATTAATTAATTCTTTTTTCTACGTCCTTCTTTAAAGCGTCAGTTTTTTCACAATTTGTAGACGCAAAAAGTGGTACTTTCAACACCTTCGACCAGGGCTGTGACTAAAGTACTGTAACCTCCTATAATGCGCCGCAGCTACTCGTGTCGGAACGGCCCAACATGGTCCGACAGGCGGCCCGGAATTTATAATACATTTGTCAGTAGTGTGGAAGGAAATTTTAAAGATTTAATATACAAAAGTTGAAATACAAAAACCTCAAGGTGGTTATAGAGAACAAGTTAAATAAATCGCATAAACAACAAAAGCAAATGCAGACCAAATTGCGTGGTGACGATTGCGGAATACGTAAGATGTTGTCGCTGTTAGATTTCTTATCTATGTAACATGTTATAGTTAACTACTCATTGTAATATATACCTATAAATTTTCCGTATATAATTATATCTTAATATAAATACTCATAATCTGCAGTTGAACTTTGCTCATACTATGAGACTAAAGAGCAAAATACATATTTTAGAATTTTACCTGGTTTCATTTTTTTTCTACTTCCACCTATAAAGCTTGCATTATGCATGGGACGGAGCAAGCTCTGTCAAAGGTTACAAAGAATTGTCCATCCCTTTTTCAGTAATCGTCAATCATTTATACTTTTTAGGGCTCATAATTAACACATTTTTTTAGTCTATATACCTACCACTGTATATATACTGTATACGAAAGATAAACAGTAACTGAAACATAACTAAACAAACGAATTCTTGCGAAGGGGTTCAAATAGTCAAACTAATCATAACAAAAATAAAGGCACGTATACGTTGACACAACTTTGTACTTATCGTAAAATGTACATACAATCTTTCCTCCTCTCTGTAACTTTGAATTGTCGAATGTTGGACGCCGATGAGTTCGAATTAACGCGTCGTTCGAATTAATCGCAATGATTTTTTGTTCGGATTACCCAGTGCATAAAAATTTATTGATTTATTTCGAAATATAAAGAGATTTTGTAAGGAACTCGTGATAACTTTAAATTATAAAGAACTTTAAGTTATCGTTGGAATTGACAAGAGCCGACTATTCTTTAATTATTATTATTATTTTTTAATTCAAAATTGTTTAAAATTCATATTTTTGTTACGTGCAAGGTTTATTTAAATAAAAAATAAGTTTGGTTTGAATGCTTTATAATTATATCAACAGAAAAATGACATTTTATAATTTGTAATAATATGTAACAAGATTACAAATAAAAAGTAGAAAATCGAATCATTTTATTTAAAGGACCACCAGTTTAGTTCACCAATCGTCTATCGACGACATTGGCAAACATTAGCATTTAAACATCTGTACCAACGGAAACCCAATCTTGCGCATAAGTTGGAACAGAAATGATCGGTGCAACCAGCACGCGATGATATGGTGCTTTCGACCGATTCAATTACTAAAAATTCATCATAATACTTAAGTAACTTTAATTATAGGTGGTTTTGATCTTACAGTCATTTTCAGGATGTTCGACATATTCTTCAACTGGCGCAAGTGAAGTTGCATTACACACACAAGCCACAAGTGCAAAAATCATCAAAACAGTGAACAACTTCATTTTACTTTAAATTTTGGTTGATGGCAGAAATGTTTGTACAGAAACTGATGAACATTGCTCTAAACCACGCGCGTATTTATACAAACGAGTGTAAAACAGTGGGGGCTAACAATATTTTAAATTTAAATTAAATAATTATATTATCTACTTAATTATAATATATTTATGTACGTACGTAAATTTGTACCTGTCTGGAAACTGAATAGAAAAATAAATTATTAAAGTGATAAACAATGCTTAAAACTGTCAACATAACATGAAATCTACAAATCTACTTTGGGGAAGTACACAATATATTATTTAAATTACCAAAAACTAGCAATTGGCAACAATAGTTTATTGTAAATAACTTAAATATACAAAGTATAAAAATGATAATAAAAAATATAATTTTTGGGTTTTATTTTATTTTAATGATTTTTTAATAGAGTTATATACTTATAAATAAAACTTAAAAAAAAGTTTTTATTAATAATAAGTTTTCATAAATATGGTTTTTTTTAAATAACATGATAATGCCTTTGGTGTATATTTAATAATTTTGATGGTAATTAATACATTGGTTTTGTATTTCCACATTTATTCCAATGATTCCTATGATTCCAAATCATAGGAAAAATATGCCAATAAAAAATGTGGACATTATAGGCAAATTTATTTAATTAATTGCATTTTTCTTAGGAAAATCTTAGTCCGCTGTAGTTAAAACACTTTGTCTATTGGCATTGCTTAAAAAACGTTTTTCTATGCACGTTGATAAGAATATTATTTAACAACCATCTCATCATGGACTTCAAATAATCTCTTCTCCTGTATTCAAACTAATCATACAACCGACTCTAATTTACAACATAACATGTAGAAAATATATTATGATAACATGTTATGTTATGATAACATGTAGGAAATAATTTTTTTTTATGAGACAAATAATTGTCTTCTCAACTGAAGTTGGGATAACGATAATGCTAAATGTCTTCCATTATTATAGTTCCAGGTTATATAAACAAAATAAAAAACTTTGATAATTGTTGAAACCACATGTCAGCAGTATAATTTGTTAAGTCAAGCTTATAAGTGTACTTCCCCAAAGTGAGTGACTACATCAAAATTCAAGGTACGATATTAATTTAAGCTTCATTTATCAAACGTCAATATACATTCATATCTTTATTTACTTTATACTCTGGTTTTCTTTATCTACGGATAAATTCAACGTGTTGCGGGATAGAGTTTTTACGTCTCTACTTTTCTAACTCTTTCAGAAAAACGTCCAGTAGCGACTTGTCTGAAAATACGTCGAAAGATGCGAATTGAATTACAGGATGACGATTCTGTAATTTACAAAGAGAATCGTAAAAAAATTGATTAAATTAATGTTTTGAACTTAATTATCCGAGTTGCAATTTTTTACACTTGTTAACTTGCCTTAATACAAGGTTTCTCAATCTTATGGCTCCACGAACTCTAGTTAAAGTTTTTAGATAACAGCAAACCGCCTAACTAACCAAATAACATCACCCCTTCCCAAAAGAAAATGGTACAATTATAAAAAATTATAAACGGTTAATAGAAGGTTACAAATACAGTGGCAGAGTTTGTTTTTTGTTTGCAAATTGAATCAATTTTAATTTTGGACAATTTTAACTTTAATTCTGACTTTGCATCAAGTCGATTACAGTTCTCTGTTTTTATCATAACCAGGTGGGAAAACCCACTCACACATATGTATGTTGTAGCAAAGAGTAAAAAGAACTTCACTGCTTTGCATAAAAGTTTGGGATATACCTCCTGCCTAGGAGCCCAAAAATGTATCAAGTTTTATCTACGGACATTTCTAATAAAGACTCTTGTTGCTTGATACTCAAGTTAGAATTTATGCTTTCCTTCGTGACCACAAATGAGTTACAAATCCAGCCATATTTAATCTAGATAAATATCTAAAAAATATTTTTACAGTTCGTCGGAGAGCTGAGAATGATGAAGAATAATTTCAGCCCCTAATTTGGTATCATCGGATAAGATGCCGTTATTTTTAGTTTATGTGGATGCATGGCATCCCTCCATCTAGGGCTTCACACGAGACCAGAGTGGACGAGGCTATCAAAAATATCGTCTCGGAAAAGCGATACAAGACCGAGACGATACTAGCAAAATCTCGGTATTGTGTGAAACTATTTTTCTTATATTTAGCTTGCTCTTTTTTTACATTTAATGGTTTTATGTGTAAAGAAAAAATTAAAAATCTCCTATAAATCTTATTTGACGAAATCTATTATATACACTTCCCCAGATATATAAAATATTTTGTTGTTCATATCTTTGCTACAAGAAAGACCGAAAAATACAAAAAAAATCTCCGGATGTATGAATAAAGACAAAATTTTCATAAAACTTTCGAAAAGTCAAAAAGGTCATGATATTTGGTTACTGACTTGTTCTTTGGAATATACAAAATAAATATTTCACCGATGGTCACCAGATTTTATATATTGGAATTTTTCGCAGTTTTCTAATAACAACTTAAAAACAACAACACCGCAGCAACAACAACGCAGTAACAACATAAAAAAAATTGAACGAGACCAAAAACGATACTCGGACTGTGGTCTCGGTACCGCCGAGAAATTTTTGAAACACGCCTCGTCCCGTTCTCGTCTCGGAAAAGCGAGACGATACCGAAAAAAATCTCGATATCGTTTGAAGCCCTATTTTTTTCCTCAATTGCACCAGGTTCTTCTCTGAATAATCTCTCCTTTTGGAAACAATTTAAACACAAAAATGCCCGACTTAGACTTATTGTTTTGCACTATGAATAATACAAAGCAAGATCAACTAAGGGGTCAAATTGCACCGTTATAGTCGGTTTGTTAGGTCGAGTTACTGATTGGGTTGTCAGCCCATATCTTAAGCACAGATTAAAAAAGCGGCAAACATGTTACCTTTAGATTGTCTTTGCAAGAAGTGCAGGAATCTATCAGATGAATACAGATTATACTATTGCCGACGAGGTACCTTATCAAATTATTTAGTTCTTATTGATTGTGATGTGCTTAACATATATTAATTAACAATAGTTTTTTTAGAAAAATGTTTAGGTGATAGGAGATTACATGTAGTTCCCCGAGAAAAATTCAATGAAGCCACATTTGTAGTTTTCAGAATTAACTGATTAGTTTGTAATTTTACCATTATTTTTCAAAACCCGTATTTTAGATTGTACTACAATGATATAGTGAAACCTGTGAAGTTAAACAATAATAAATTTTAAACAACAAATATATATAAATTAAAGCCCGTCTCTGGTTTTCAACTTTGAGGATAAAAATGCTCAATTTTTGAAGCGTTAACAACTCTGCAAACCATAGATTAACCAACATTAACCATTGATTTTAATTTTTTTGCGGCAAAGATATCAAAAAATGAAGTTCGTTATTGTTTTTGCAATTTTTGCGTTTGTGGCCTGCGCGTAATGTTTGTCCTCACCGTCGACACTTGAAGAAGACAATCAAAATGTGGATATAGGCAATGAGGGTAAATATGAATATAAGTATAATGATGTTTTTAATATATTTGATAATTTTTCATGCAGCATTTGACTCAGTTGATAACACTCTATCAAGTCGCGCTGTTTGTACCGCACGTTTATGTTCTAACATTTGCGCCCGATTGGGTTTTCGAAGATACAGATGCGTGAGTACCCGTGTACTCATACCATAGTAATTATTTATTAAATTAAAAATAAATAAATACAGTCGCGTAAAACTTCTAATCACTCCAGTAACGACATCAACACCGTTGGTTGTCGTAAAATAAAAGGATAAACCTTAAGAGTTTCCCAAAACTAATTTTGGTTAATGTAGATTGAAGGCGTGCGAGTTTAAACTCCCCAATAAAAAATTTAAAAGAGTGTAAAATTTGTAGGATGTTATGTTTAAGAAAGACTAGTTCTTATTAATTAATTCTTTTTTTACCACCTTTAAAACGCCAGTTTTTTCACGATTTGTTTTAACATCCTATTATGTGCCGCTGCTACTCGTGTCGGAACGGCACGGCATTTACAACTTTGCATTTTTCAGTAGTGTAGAAGGAAATTTTAAAGACTTAATAATTTATAAAATATATTTATTAAAATAATTTGTGATTTTTCTTTGGATTTTACAATTTGTTTGAGAGTTTAACATGTTTCGCCCTTTGGGCATCACCAGGAACTGATTAAATTTGTATTCTAGGGGGTGTTCTGTGTGTCAAGTTTTTGCGTTGTGTTAATGTGTGTTATCGTGTTAACAGGGAAGAAGATATAGGAAAGAAGTTAAATAAATAGCGTAAACAACATAAGCAAATGCAGACCGAATTGCATGGTGACGATTGCGGAATACGTAAGATGTTGTCGCTGTTAGATATCTTATCTTTATTGCATGTTATTGTTAACTATTCCTTGTAAAATATATAAATTTTCCGTATATAATTATATCTTAATATAAACACTCATAATGCGCAGTTGCGCTTTGCTCATACTATGAGACTAAAGAGCGAAATAAATGTTTCAGAATTTTACCTGGCTTTATTTTTTTTTCCTTTAATTTTAAAAATAAATACTATTGTATGAGCAAAGCAATTAAAAATTGTATGAAGGGTGACAGTAAGTAAAGAAAGGTATTTCCAATTCTATATATAAATATCGTATCATCAGAATAATATATACAGTCGACTCTCGCAATTTTGAAACTCGAGGGACTCTTATAATATTTCGAATTATTGAGTGTTTGAAATATCAAATGCTACAAAATTTGCGAAAAAACCTATATAATAACAATGAAAAAAGTTTAAAGGTATATTCGTGTACATACATAAACGTATTCGTAGTGTGGATAAATTAATCTTTTGGAAACTCTGCTATACTGGTTTACTTCATTTTAGGGCTCATAATTAACACAAATCTTTAATCTGAATACCAATGAAGGACTAACAGTAACTGAAATATAACTAAACAAATTAATTCGTGCAAAAGTGTTAAAATAGTCAAACTAATCATATCGGTTGGACGCCGATGAGTTCGAATTAACGATTCCTTTTGATATATAGCATTTTTTGTTCAAATTACCAAGCGTATAAAATGTATTGATTTAGTTCAAAATATAAAGAGATTTTGTAGGGAATTCCTGATAAATTTGAGAGATGCGAAGTATCGCAGGTTGGAATTACCGAGAGTCGACTATTCCTTAATCAGTACTTTGTTATTATTATTCTTTTAAATTCAAAGTATGTTTAAAATTTATAATTTTGATACATGCAAGGTTTATTTAAATTAAAAAAAAATTCTATTGAAATTGTTTCAATGCTTATAATAAGAATGATATAAACAGAAAAATAACATTTTAAAATTTGCAATAATATGTAACGAGATTACAAATAAAACGTAGAAAATCGAATCATTATATTTAAAGGACCGCCTGTTTAGTTCACCAATTGTCTATCGCAGACATTGGCAAACATTAGCATTCAAACATCTGTACCAACGGAAACCCAACCGTGCGCATAAGTTGGAACAGAAACTGGCGGTGCAACCAGCACGCGATGATATAGTGCTTTCGACCGATTCAATTACTAAAACAATAAATAATCATCATAATAATTATGTAACTTTAATTATCGGTGGTTTTGATCTTACCGTCATTTTCAGGATGTTCAACATATTCTTCAACTGGCGCAGGTGAAGTTGCATTACAAACGCAAGCCACAAGTGCAAAAATCATCAAAGCAGTGAACAACTTCATTTTACTTTATATTTTGGTTGATGGTAGAAATGTTTGTACAGATACTGATGAAAATTGCTTTAAACCACGCGCGTATTTATGCAAACGAATGTAAAACAGTGGGGGCTAACAATATTTTTAATTTAAACTAATTATATTATCTACTAAATTATAATATATTTATGTACGTACGTACATTTGTACCTGTCTTGAAACTGATTAGATAAGTAAATTAGTAAGGTGATAAACAATTCTTAAAACTGTCAACATAACATGAAATCTACAAATCTACTTCGGGGAAGTACACGATATATTATTTAAATTACCAAATACTAGCAATTGGCAACAATAGTTTATTTTATATAACTTAAATTGCAAAGCATTAAAATGATAGTAATAAATATAGTTTTCAGGTTTTTTAATAAATTTTTAATAGAGTTATATTCTTATAAATAAAACTTGATAACTAAACTAAATAAACATGTTTTTTCTAAATAACATGATAATGCTTTTTGTGTATATTTAATATTTTTGATGGTAATTAATACATAGGTTTTGTATTTCCATATTTATTCCAATGATTCCTATAATTCCAAATCACAAGGAAAAATAGGTACCTAAATAAAAAAGTGTGGACAATATAAGCAAATTTATTCATTTTTGTCATCTTTAATTATTTTTAAATCATTTTTTCATTGAAAAATCTTCAGCGGCTATAAACACTTTGTCTGTTGGCATTAAGTATTGCTTAAAAACGTGTGTTTTTATACACACGTTGATAAAAATGCTATTTAACAACCATCTCATCCTGGACATCAAATCTTTTCTCCTCCTATATTAAAACTAATCATACAAGCCGTCCTAAAACCGAGGGCATTACAGACAAAAGCGTAGCGAGCGGTCAATCAATCGAGTCTTTAACAACGTTTAGCCACGAGGTGCATACTCTATTTTTCTACTTCCACTCAAGTTCCACGTTATAAACGTTAGTAGAAAAAATATATTTTTCTATTTCCACCTATAAAACGCCAGTTTATCCATGGTCTTTAGACCCGAAACGTGGTATTTTAGATACGGACGGCCAAGTCGTACATAATATTCATTGTATAATTTCTGTTTATCAATAATGATAAATGACTTATATTGTTATAGCTACAAGTTATATAAACAAAATAGAAAACTTTGATAATTGTTGAAACCTCATGTCAGCAGTATAATTTGTCAAGTCAAGCCTATAAGTGTATTTCCCCAAAATGAATGACTACATCAAAATTCAAGGTGCGATATTAATTTAAACTTCATTTACCAAACGTCAATATACATTTATATCTTTATTTACTTTATACTCTCGTTTTCTTCAAGATCTTCTGGATTTATCTACGGATAAATTCAACGAGTTGCGGGATAGAGTTTACACGTCTCTGCTTTCTAACTCTTCCAGAAAAATGTCCTGCAGCGTCTTGTCTGATAATACATCGAGAGATGCGGTGGGGATTGAATTACAGGATGACGATTCAGTAATTTATATCCCCGCAGTAGATGAGGAAGAAGATGATAACAACGACAACACGTTGGTAGAAGATTCCGCACCATTAGCAAGTAAGAGTGTGTTACCTCTTGAGGTTCCAACAGTGGGGAAGTCTTGTAAACGCAGTGCCTCATCACCTATCTCTGAATTACTCAAATCGGATAAAAAGTCCGAGGACTTCATTCGCTGCAATATTAACATCACCCAAAGACGAAAAACAAGTAAAAAATGAAGCAATTTTGATATGCTCTACACCAGAAGTAACAACAAATGCCTTGCGTGGACTCGAAGCCGATAAATTGCACGATATATCCCCAATTCCTAAAGAGACAAATGTTATAGATTCAACTGAAGTTAAAAGCCATAACAACGTAGAATGTTCATGTGCATCAACTTGTAAACAAATACAGAAAATGGTTGCTGATGTGCACCGTTTGTTGACTTCTGACGGACCATTAGGCAAACTCAAAAAGTTAATGAATCTTGGAGACGCATTCGAAAAGTATCAACTTGAACACGCAGAACTACCCCATCAGATCAATACAAACAACATTGTGTCGACAATATAAAATGTTTTAACTTGCGATAACGACAATCAAATAACCAACATAAAAACCTACCACAATCCTGAAACATTCGTGACAGACAATATTCACTACGAAAGGGGTAGGAATGATCATCGGATCGGAGACTTAAAACCGATTGTCATCGACAGCTCTAACATTGCAATGGCGTGCGTTAAAATATAAGTTCAAGTTCATCATCAATACATTTAATTTGTTTGTAGACATGGTCAGGATAGACGGTTTTCAGTGAGAGGATTGCGCATCTGCATTGAATTTTTTCAGCGGCGTGGACATCAGGTATTTGCTTTTGTGCCTGCTCACCGACTGCGGGCAAACGCATGTGATGATCCTATGGGCCTGAATGATTTAGTGCGCCGTGGCTTGTTGTTTGCAACGTCGTCGTGGGAAGCCGGTGGACGTCGCTATTGCGCATACGATGACCGAATAATGTTGCAAGTTGCGGCGGCGATAGGTGCTGTCGTCGTCTCTCGAGACAACTTCAGGGACTTAAAAGCCGAGGACGTACGCTATGAACGTGTCTTGCAGCATAGTCTATTGATGCCGACTTTTGTTGGTGACTTGCTTATTTTTCCGCAGGATCCGCTTGGTAGACATGGACCCACCCTTGATCGATTTCTTAGATATCCCTGAAAAATCAAATTCAAAAATATTTTTAATGATAAGTTTAAAATTTGCTTTATTATTTATAATATATACAAAATTAGAAGTTGTATATTTGTCAACATGCATCACCCATATAGTGATTTTTTTTGTGAATTAATGTAGGTATATAGTTCTTTTCCAAAAGTGTTGAGATAAAAGAGGTTGCTTGGTATTGGTATTGGCTTACACCTTGCATTAGGGAGCTGTGTCCGGCAGGTTAGCAGCTACCCGACAGACCACGTACAGGTCCCATCGCAGTTAAAAACAAGGACAAATATATCGGTGCCAGAATACGATATGTTTCTAAGATTACGGATTATTTAGAATAGATATCTTCGAGATGGCTTATGAATAAGTCGGCGATTGATGACCCCATTGGGAGCCCAATTTTTTATTATTTGATTACGTTATTAGTTATAAAATGAAACGAACGTTGAATAAATTTATATAAACTTCCGTTTCTAATCTGGATAGATTCGCGCGATTACAGATCGTTCTTATTATAAACTAGCTGACCCGACAAACTTTGTTCCGCCTCGCATTGTTCTTGTGATTGAGAGGCACGAAGTCGAGCCAAACTATCATCACTGGAAAATGTAAGATTATTAATGTCGTGTCACGTCGACACGAGCAGCATTTACCTTTACATTTCCCGTAGATAATGCGTCATCCGTATATAAAGTTGATTGTCAACCATCTGTTTTAGCGGTATAGACGTTTTATCTGTTTTAGTACTTGCTTACAAGGAGGATTATTTTGCTTACCTTCGTTCTCTAGTCCAGTCCATGTAAGATGAGGCAGGCTTGTGGGTCCCTCGGAAAGTATGAGATTCTAGTGCAAATAAAATAACTATGATTTTCAAAATAGTTAAAAATGCTGACAACAAAAAATGAAAATCCCTGCGTTAAACTTAGTACATGCAAAATTTTGTATACCTTCTCTTGAATTATCTTGTAGTTAACCGGATTCTAGATTTGACTTGTAATCCCATTTTCAATAACGTAATGCGTTTTCCGGGGGTCCCCTGTAACACGTGAAAGTGCTTGGTATACCATGAATAATGTAAGTAAACAGTGTAGATGTAAAGGGCTGAATTTCTCTGACTCAAGAATTAAAAATTTACAACTATGATGTAAATTATTCATTTAATGTTCCTACACTACACTGTGAGTGCACTACTGGAAAGTTCGTATTGTATCACCAATTGAAAACTTTACTACAAAAGAAGATGTTAACCCCAAGAACATAGATGTTTATCACCAATCAACCTTGCACAATCGCAGTGGTTTGTCCGGGAGAGCGGACTAACGGACTCTTGACGGGTACCGGTTTGTTACAGATCACCAGCAAATGCGTCATGGACAGTAAGGAGTATCTGCTGTTACTAAAACAGGATCGAACGACTGTAGTAGGCCTACTTGGCCTCTCCATTCTACCCGTAAATTTGTCTCATTCGTTCACACATTCGACGTCATCATGGGACAAGAGATACAATACGTACATTTTACTCAGCGTGGCAGGCGCAGTCACTATCATCAGCATCATTGAGGTTATGTGGCGTTTTAAACGGTCTTCTCAGGCACCATCTTTAGCGTCTATACAGATCGAAGAACCATAACTTCTAGCCGGGGGAGGCAAAATGTTTAGTTCGAACAGGGTTCAATCGAGCGCACCCGACCGTTGTAATGCGGCCGCTAATAGTTTTATGTATCATGTACTCAAAAAAGCTTCCGCACAAGTAACTTGGTAACTTCCATCCAATAATGTATTTGCACACACTGACAAAAATTTGTATATATATTCCAACACATTGGAAAAAATTTAGTATTCAAGTAATGCTGCTCAGAGTCACTCTGCCAAAATTGTGAGCTTAAGAAAGCTGGTAGACTTCTCGCTTTTCAAACCTTGCCAACTACTCCGCTGCCTTACAACCAGCGTCACAAACATTACTCATCTTTACAGCACCAACCCATGCCTATGAGTCAACCAGCGCTCCCTACATACCAACGTCTGCTGCATGGCGTTCCAGTATACGCAATGAATAAGAAGCCCACCAAATATATGAGAAATATTTATACCTAACAGAGTGGCTGAAATTTACCAAAACGACATGAGCAATGGAAGTACATATGTCCAATCTGCGGACAATACATCTGACCTTGTATCGCGCTGTTTGAATCCAGAGCAAATCTCAAGTGACAAAATGTGGTAGAACGATTGTTTACATCGCAAAAACAGAAAAGCAGGGGAAAACTATTAGTACATATTATAATAAGAAGCTCAGCATTGTGCGTGTGTTTGCCGGGTTTACTGCCCATAGTGCGTCGCCGCGGATGTTGATAATAAAGACAGACTAGATTAGCATAACAGTAACATTATTTATAAATATAGATAATAAATATAATTACGGATCAACAAGTATCCCTTGTATAATAAAGTGACCCTTGCAATAATAATATAATTGTACTAAAATACGGTCCGTACGTGATCAATGTTCTGCTACGATTGGTCACTGCTATTTAGGATGCACAACAGGCTGACAGCGGTCATTTTGAAACCTGTCGCAGACAAATTACCTCATTTCTGGCATCGCTGCACACAACGCCAGCATGCAGTGCACCATCCGCATCAACGCGTCCACTGTTGCCACCCTCTCAACTTTCAATCGTCCCATTTGAGGGAGGATTCAAGAAATGGTCTGAGTTTGAAATTCTACGTTCTAAGAAAGGTGCAGACTTCGCTAAGTATCTAACGAAAACATCTACGCATGGTCGGATTTGATGATCACTTTAGCATTGATTACCAAACCCGTGGAAAAAAGAGAGGTGTTTGTGGCAAATAGGATTGGTGAAGTAAACAGAAACATTACGACATTACAACATTAATTTAATAACACGAGGGGCGGCACCAAACATACTGAAGGATAACGAGCTATGGTTGCAAGGACTAACATGGTTGACACCGAAGAAAGAAACGTTGCCAATTCAACCCATAATTCAAAAGCTGTTGCTACTGTTGCTACTCGTTTCTCGTCAATACATAAAATGTTACGAATGTTAACATACTGTCGACGATTCTGCACAGGAGGAAAAGGTAGAATATTGTATGCAGAAATTGAAACAACATTGCAAGCAGTCGTCAGAATTGTACAGCAAGAAGGATTTGGTGACAAATTAAAAGCGCTATCCCAAATTTCCAAGAAAAGTGAAATAATCATAATAATAATCACTAATTCTATTCGTAGATAATTCAAGTTGGAGCACGATTGGAAAAATTCGCATCTTAAAATCTTAAGAACAATCGTCGACACCCAATTCTTGTTTCATCCGATCATCATCTCGCAAATTAATTACCCAAGCATCATACGTCGCTGCCTGGTGGAAATAAAGCAACATTAGCATTCACCGGATGAAAGTTCTGGATTGCTAGGGCAAAACTAGGCCAACTTCTGAGCGTGACACCATCAAATGCGTTAAAGCACACCGGAGTTGACTACGCGGGTCCAATTAACGTGATAATAAGCAAAGGAAGAGGCCATAGAAGCTATAAAAGGTACATTGCGATTTTCATATGCTTATCCACGAAAGCAATTTATACTGAAATGGTGAATAACTTGACAGCTAACGCTTTTCTCGCAGCGTTAAGAAGAAAGAAGAAGGAACTGCGCTCATGTTCATATATTACAATGGCACGACCTTTATCGGAGCGGCAAAACAATTGAAACAGGACATCCTAAATTGTGATGAAGCTGAGAGTGCATCAGTCGAAATTGGAACAACCTGGCATTTTATACCCACAATTTCGTTATATTTTGGCGGACTGTGGTAAGCGGGAGCATCTGAAATAGAAATTTGAAACAGTACTCTTACACACGAGGAGCTTACAACTTTACTACATCAAATTGAGGCCCCCCTGAATTTAAGACCACACTACGGTCACTGCCCCCGCTCAACTGATCTAGGGATAGTTCTCCGCCTTCGTTTGTAGTTTTGTAAGAAGATATAAAGTAGTAGTCAATGTGCATTCATTGAATGAAAATCGTCTCACTTCTCCGAGAACCCTTATTACTACACTGCCTTACAACCAGCGCAACACAACACATCACCAAGTCTTCTGCTCTTCATCTTTTCGAACCCGGCGTCACCGCCCAACAACCTTAAGGGTTGCTGGCGAGAGACAAGAGTGGAGAAAAGTCACTTCTTGACTAGACTTAGTAGTCTCCATATCTTCTACTAAACGTAAGTCGTGATATCTCATTAGGTATATTTATTAAGAATAATAACAGTTAACACAACCCACACCGATTCCACACACGCGTCACCCGCACTTTTAAAATCGAAGT